TTAATTTTTTTGATTGATTTGATTGGTTAATTATCACGGGTAGATCTACCAATCATACGAATGTCGTCCTATGAGGTCTGCCTACTTGGAACATTTGAAGATGGGCAATTGGTGTTTCCCGAGTTAAGGTTAATAATGTATGCAAGACAGGGTCAGGCTATTGCTTTTAGGTCTAATATTTTAGTCCATGGTAATCTTCCTGTTATTGCAAGCATTCGTCATAGTGCCGTTTTTTTTATTCATGCAACATCAATTAAACAAAATAGAAAATTCAGAACTTTGTTTCATGACACAGATCTGGATGATTTAAATAGTGAAACTGATGTTGGTATAAATATTAATAAAAAACTCGGGCACCAAAAAAACGCACTATACAGAATAAAAAACGTCTAAAAATCTCAAAGTCGGGTTCACCATCTTCAAAGGTTAAAAATTCAAGATGAAGCTATCTTGGTAAGTATAATTTCTGTATTAGAAATTATTTATAATCATTTTTAAACCCAATATTTATATATATTTCGACTTATTTAAGATCTTGAATCCGCGAAAAGAGGATTACCAGCAAAGTATAAAATATGCAAAAAATAATATGACGAGGCATTTGAATGAATGTGTAGAAAAAAGAATTTAATTTATTGTATAAATATGACTATTCGGGTAGTCCCTTTGCTATTTTAATAAAGAATCTATAGCCCGGAAAACTTGGCACACATACTCACAATTATTATTAAAATTCAAGAAATCTATATTAACATCTTTTTCCTAAAAATAGAAGTTTTCAGAAATGAAATAGTCAATTTTTAGAGAATTACATGGATATGGTTTGCTATACAATTTACACAAATATCGCACATATTCTGAAGTTTTAATGATGTTTACTTTGCTGTGCTCATCAATATGGTAATATTCGGAATTCGATAGCCATTTTAACATATAAGTCTATCCTGAATATTCAATGATTCTATAGCCCTGCCGATGTAATACTATAAAAGCAACTATATATAATACAAGAGATAATCGATTATTTAGCTGTTCTTTTTTCTTTTCTGCCCAGACGTTAGGAAGATAATGATTAAATAAGATAGGAGAATTCTGATAATGTGCATGCACATCTTTAGCTTGAATTTTTTGGCCAAAATAATCTACATATCGATTATCAGGAATTCTTATATGATAAGGAGTTATACCTAAAAATTTCTTCATTATCATTTCTCACTATATTCCAAACTCGACTTGCCCATGTCTTGGGTCTCAACTTGTAAGTTCTCCAAGCCCGTTGAAGAACCGTTACACTGTTAATTATGCGAACTACAATCCTTTTTTTAAGTTCATTTTTATTTGAATGTTTATAATCATAATAGCTCAAGCCTTTACTGTATATAAAATAATATCTCTCATATATCTTATCAACAATATCAATGCTAAGTGATGATGCTCCCCCCTCTTTTTTCACATTCTTTCGTACAGGATTATAATGCATATTAGTGGTTTCAGTAATACATTTCTTTAGGTGATCATTTGCATATTCGATTGTATTTTTGCGAATAATTACTAAGGAGTCGCATACAGTGCAATAAATATAAACTGAACGCTCTTCATATGCTCTTTCAATCATTTGAATGAATCCATTCTTGGAGAAGTATTTTGAGTTATGTTCGAGAAGTTTTTTAAATAGACAACGAATACGAGAACACTACATTTCTGGTGTTTCATCGCTATAACTATATTGCAGATTGTTTAACACCTGCACTACTCCAAGATTTAAACTAGAATAGAAGTTAGTTTTAACTATTTTTTTTACTCTTTATAGTTTATAGCCGACTCTAGTGATTTATAGTGTTTTTTAACAATTTATAGCGTTTTTAGCGATTCTTTATCAACCTATATTAAGGAATATCACGATTCAAATTTGTAGCCGAAAACAAAAAAAATGTAAGTAATTATTATACACTTCATAGATTTTTATTTCTTTCTTGCATATATTGCAAGTAAATATTAATATATAAATTATATTACTCAATTGTGATCTCAAGAATAGCATTAGGAAAATAGTGGAGTTGACATTGAAATTATGAATTGGCTTGGATAATTTTTTCCCTGCACTTCTGCCTTGCCTCTATCTCTTTTTGTAGGTTTAATAGTGTGTCAAACCTTAGTCGAATGGCAAGAAAATCATCCTCTGGCCTACTGAGATCAAATACAACAAACTCACCTTTACAGAGGTAGCTATTAATAACCATGGATGCACCTTTTACATCATCAGTATATCGTCTAACAATTTTGGAGATATCGTGAGCGCTACTACCGCCATTAAATATCACTAAATGGGAGACATTTTCTCGAATAATAATGAAAACTTTATAATAACGTTGTGTTATATAAATAGGTGAAATGTTCCTGTAACGCCAGTGAGTAAAGAAAGGCATAATTTGATTTTGTATATACTCTGGGGCAACACACAAATCCTCAAAAATAATAACAGTGCTCCTTTCTGGTAAGAATGATTTCACGTTTGGAATCCTTTCAGGAAGAATATAGCTAAACCGAATATTCTTATAATATGGCGCTCTTGGATCTTTTGAAATTACGCTATACATATATCTTACAAATGCCCATTTTGGTAGTAACCACATACTATCAAATCATCACATCTAATATATCTCGTTCCCCCTTTTCATCCTTTGTATATATGCTCACTCTTATCCCCTAAGAACAAATTTGCTAGTAAATTGGTTTTACCTATACCACTTCTTCTGCTGACTATCTTGCTGAAAGGCCATGTCATTACTGGATGTCCAACATTTCTGGATTATTCATGCTTTGTGGCCTTATCCATATTCATAAGATAAAGTTTCATAGGGGGAGGTGGCTCCCTTAAGACCTCTCGGATAGTCCTGTTTTTTGGTTTTTCTGCATGGCAGATTGGAAATTCGTATCTTTGATTTTTATTAAAAGGTGTTATATAATTTTGAAAAAAGTTTTCTTCATTATGGGGCGATATAAAAGAATATAGATGAGATAAGATGGACCATAGGAAGTATATAATTAGTAAAAGTATTATAAGAAAGATCGCAAGCTGAAAAAAGGAAGAACCAAATTTCTTATCACTAATAGGTGCTACTAAGAAGCAGTCTCTATAAAGACCCCAGGTGGTTTCAGGGCTAGCATTATCATTACCTTTCTTCTGTTTATTAACACCTGGTCTCTCTAAGACCCCTCCAGCCACTTTAGACTCACTGGATGTTTTTGGGATCTGTTCGGTTAAATGAGCTTTATTTAGAACCACTTCTTGAAGAAGCGTGTCTTTCTCTATCAATGCTCTTTGAGTTGTGACTAAATTATCTTTCATCTGTGCCAATTTATTCTTTTTTTCTACTAGTGTATTTTTTAAATCTTTTTTCTCCAGATCTAGATAAATATTTTCAGTAGATAGTTCTGCGTTTTTTACTTCTAATTTACGCTTAAGAGATTTTATTTCTGATAACTCCTCTTGAGCTAAAGAAACATCTCGCTCTAATTCTTCTGCTATAGATTGAAGAGCCTGTATCTCTTCCTTTATCTTGGATTGGAGGGCTTGCATCTCTTCTAATTTTATAGAGAATTTGCTTTCGGCATCTGCAAGAGAAATATTCTTGTGAGTAATCTGAAGCTTAAGATCATTTATTTTTGAATGCAATTGTCTTATCTCATCTCCGAGCTTAGAATCATTTATTTCTGATCGTAATCGTGCTATCTCTTCTCCAAGTTGGTGCACCCGGTTGGAAAGTTTCTCATTTTCTTTTTTGGATTTATTAAGGTCATCCTGTATGCACTTATTTTCTTTTTTTGATTGATTTAAAGAATTCTGCATATACTTATTTTCTCTATCTAAGACATCGTATTTATCTGCAAACTGACTCCCCCAATATATAGCAACTTCACGATCTTTTTTTGCACAAGAAAGTTGTTCTTCAAGCTCTGTTCGGCCGGGAGGGTATTGATTAGCTGGAGAATTTCCAAGTTTATTACCATTATCCAGATTTTTTAAGGTATGGATCTGGGACATTTTATTAGTATTTTTTTTTTTGGAGGAAAAAAAATCTCAAGTTTTTGAACTAAAAAGTGAGATATTTTAGATAAAAAGCATTGAACTATCTATTAATGCCTATTGATACACATTGGTGAGTATTAAAATATATTGATATTTATTGAAGGATATTAATATGTATTGATGTATACTGAAAAATATTGATATATATTGGAGAGTATCGACTTATATTGAAGAGCATTGATATATATATATTGATACATATCAATATTTATTAAAAAAACATTATTTTTTTTTTTCCTAGTATGTAAAATCTAGTAAAGATGGTCGCCTGTCTCCATGATACATTTTATGATGCTAAGGCAACCTTGTTATCAGAAGCCGATATTAAAGAAATTAGAGAATCAAGAGGTAGGATACCCAATGCATCAAAAATAATGGCTAAAAAATTTCATATTGGCCCTAAACGTATTTATGAAATATGGGACTATAAAGAACGCCTTCAGCAAGGGATTACTTCATCTCAGTCTGTTTTGGAGGAGAATTTCCAAATTTATAAAAAGAAACAGATTCCTAAAGCGGTACCAGAAGAAGTATCTACACCCCTTCTATCTACAGAGATTCCAAAAAAGAATGGTCGAAAAGGGAAGGTTAAAATAGATGAGAAGCCAATTACTGAAGCAACCAGTATGGTAAAAAAAAATAACAAAAATAATATGGCCTCTTCCTCTGACAATTCGTCTGATACATCCAGAGAAGATAGGTTGGAATCTCCTCTTGAAAACTTAGTCAAACGTGGTAAAAAGCTTAAAAGCTTAACAGTTGATACTTCTGATATCTCTTCTATATAAGGATTCACATGTATTAGCAAGAAACTTTCTAGTACTTAAGGCCAAATAGAGCCATTTCTCAAGCTTTGTACAGTTTATATATTTTTTTTTAAGTCCTTCTCACCACTTGGATTAGAGGAATCGGTAGATACTTGGGCCAAATCATGTGAACCCTCTAGGACCTGCTCCTCTTTTGGCGAAACCTTAGCTTCTGGGGCCTTGCTATATATTGGGATAGTGTAAGTCTTCTCATGTAACTTCATTCGGAATTGATTTTTATTCAGATCAAGAATACCTTGAACTTTTCGAATCCATGTCATACCTAAACATAACATTGGTTCGGGTTTACCATTATTAATATGAGCAAAATTTCCAGTAGCTGTAACAATCTTATCATCTTTGTCCTTTACACTAATTGGCACATCTGTATACCATCCCAATGATTCGGATATATGTTTGGAATTACCCTTTATAGCAAAGTCAGAAGGTTTATCAGCTTTCCATCCCAGAGCGTTAATTGTTGCATCATTCACTCTCCCAATTTCACTCGCACTATCTAAAAAAGAATTAGTGATCAATAGATCATTTATATTACAATGCAAGTATTGCAATGATGAAAACCACTCATCTAATTTTGATTCTTTTTTCTGAACTATATGAGACTGACACATTTTACGCATTGCTGGTAAAAGTTTTGGCAATAGCTCATCAAACATTTCGGGCTAGCTATATTCTGCTAGTATCTGTTTTTTTTTTCTAGTAGATAATACCTAGTCCATTTATTATTTTCTTCATCATAACCACAATTATTATCTTCCTCATTATCTGAAGCTGGAGGTGTGTATTGGGACTGTGTAGATGAAAGTTGGGGATAGTAATGTGTAAAATTTGATTTAGCTACAGGTTTTTTGGATTGATTATCGAGCATCAGCCTCCTGAATTGAGATGTCATTTGACCAATTTCATCTACTTTCGATTCTATTCTATCCATTCTCATAGATTGGTTTTGTTGAGAGCGAGGTCTTTGAAAAGGTTT